TTTTTGTTGCAAGCATTGTGCCAAACACAGAAAATATTCTACAAGGTTAATAAGCTAAGGCATTGACTAAGAAGTTCCCTATCAATTAACTGAGTGTCTTTCAGTGGCAAGAACATTCACTCTACTCCCATGGGGATGTTTGCTTATCATCTATTTAATTTGTCTATACAGAGTATATTTGCTATACAAATCAATATAGGTATACAAATCAATATAGGTATAGATTATGTATAGTGCCTATACAGAATCTATGGTCCAACTCTTCCATTTAAAGAAGCCTTAATTTTATATAGGACAATAATGTACCCAGATAAAAATAAATTCCCTTGCCTACCTTACAGGTAAGTGTGGCCTATGGCTACAGTTAAAATTCTGGCCCTAGACACTTAAATAATGTAAGATTCTGGGAAAATACTTTAAACAGGTAATGGACATCAGGTGGCATTATTTTAAACATACACATATACATAAAGAGAAGAGAACTGATAAAGAAGATATTTACTTTGGAGAGAATTAACTCTATGCCCAAGAAGTCAGTAGACCAAAAAAAAAAAAAAAAACAAAAACAAAAAAACCCTGCAAACATTTCATTTTGTACAAAATGGTACAATAAAACAAGTGAATAGAAACATATCCAGTTACTATATTTTACTTTAAGGGTTCCCCCCGTTGGGTATTTTTTCAGATATGTACCAAAAACTCCTCCTAAAAGCTATTATCTTTTAAACTCCTTAAAAATAACTATTACAAAAAAAGAATCAGAGAGTTTTAGAGACCCAAATTGATACTGTATCTAATAAGATAAAAACACAGCAAATAGAACATTTTTTTAAGAAACTTCCTTCTTTTTTTAGTGACCTATTTTATTTCACAAGCACATTTAACTAAAATTAATCAACTACCACTTTAGAACTACTAGGTCCCATCAAAAATCCAAAAAACAAACAAATCAAATCAGCCTCAGAGCTGACAGGAACCTTCCTCACCAGAAATGGAAAGCCACTGCCTTTTTTCAATGAATAAGAGCTAAAATGACATTAACTCACCATCACAGGCCATATTTTGATTTTTGCAAGTTACTCATCAGGAAATAGCAAATGACAGCTGTTCTGCAGTCTGTAGATTCATACAGCCTTAATTTCAATTTAGAATGAGGCTTAATTAGGACACACAATATCCTACCATAAAGACCTAGGCACTCATTTTCAAATCTTTAGGTGTAAATCAACATAACTTCATGCAGCTACACCATCTTTAATAGAGAATCTTTTTTAGATTCAACTGACAACCTCTGGTAATTGTCCTTTTCTCTTATGTTTTCCAGAAGAATATAATGCTAGACCTAAAAATAGTAATCAGGTGGCACTATTTTAAACACAGATGCAGAGTCTCAAGTGGTCAAGAACTACCGAACTTAAAAAAAAAAAAGAAATTAAATTCACTGCTTGTTACTAATCTGGGTTTCCCTTCTGGGTTTCCCAAATCTACTTCAGGTCATAGACTGATTTGAAATGCACATTTAATCCATATTTAAACTGTTCATTTAAAATGATAATTTTGCTAAATACAATAGAAGATTGAACAAAACAAAGGTGGAGATTGGATATAAAGCTTAAACAACTCCAAAAAATGCTGCTATTTTTTCTGCTTCTTTAGAAAGTACCATTAAGCCACTTGGAAAGCATATACTAATGGAATATACTAAGTAAAATTAATAGT